TTAAGGCTAACGTTAGTTAATTCATCAAACCAAACCTCAATTACATTGACTTCCTTCTGCGACTGTTTGCCAACGGCCATTGGAAGCGTGTACAGATTATGAAGATATAAAACACAAATGCGTCCCTAAACAACTTGCAGTAGATGCTGCTATTGCATCGTCGTAAGCCTGGTCCTCTCATTTCAGCGTGGTTGGGCTCAATTTCGACTTCCTGGCTTTGAATCTCGTCGGATTCACATTCTACTCCGTATTCAACTGTGGCCTGTACTTCTCCAGCGGGATACAGGTCAGTGCCGCTCCTTACGTTCCACTTGACCGTGACCTGAGGCCGGACAAGTCACCGGGTCATAGTATGGTCGCCGCATCAGGGGAGGATGGCAGATCGCGATAAGCCGGGCGACTGGCAAAGAGCTGCGTAAGCTGTCGGTCAGTACCTTGAATGTGCTCGCCTCTTCAACCCCGTCTCCCAGCGGTCGTCGTCACATACCCCACACTGTTCTTTCCACTATACTCTGCTACGTACTCCCGCGACGTTCACACCCAGCCTGTGCCGCATCACGCTTGTCACGGTGTCCAGCTCCAGTGCGCTCTCGCCTCTCCCTGGCCGCGCGCGCGCGCGCACAGAGCACCCACCCCTCCGTCTCTGCGGTGTCCCTGACCGGGCGCATCTGCCCAGGACATGTACTACAAAGACCACCCGTACGGTCTTGTGCCGGTGGCGGTCAACGATGTCGTGTTCGCCCTGCACGCTCTCTGCGCGTGCATCATCACCGTGCTGCAGTGCCTCATCTACGAGGTGAGCGGCCGTGCTGGCGGCGCGGCGCTGCTCGGCCCCGCCACTGCCGCCACTGAGGGGCGACCGGGCTCGCGTGTATGCTGGGGGTCGGATGCTGCAGCTGCGATCGCGGAGTCGCGTACCGGCGCCAGATTCGGCAATGGTGGCTCTGCGAGATAGCGTGCGTCAGTTGCGTTGATTGCACTTGACAGGGTCACACCCAGACCGACCTTTGTTCTGTATGATTTGAAGGCTTCCTCTGGGCATTTTGGTTTGCCCATCGTGACCATCCCGAAACCACAAACACTTGTTCGAACACTGGCCCTTTTGAACTAAGACACTGGTACTGTGGTCATATGAGGTCGACGTATTGGTCTCGTGTGCGCTGTTATCCTCCGTGAGCAGTCGGCCTGGAGCTGGGTCCATACGGGCATGGAAATCATTTCACTCCAGAAGTCGGGTCAGACTACGGCGGCAGCTTCTATGTTGACAGTGTGGGGTAACAGGGGTCCTTTGCGGCCGCTGACGTGCCTCAGGTCAGGTCAGGCCATGATCTCCCATGTGTCGACAGCGAGGGGACCAGCGGGTCTCCACGGCAGCCAGAGGTCTTCTGGTGATCTTCGCCGTCGTGATCATCATCACCGCCATCATCACGGGTTGCGGAGTCGTCAACTGGCTCTGGTTCCTCTACGTGTTCTCCTATGTGAAGCTGGCCATCACCATCGTCAAATACGTGCCACAGGTAGGCTGGATAATGGTCTGAATGCTCAGACGTTGGGCTGTGCTCCGCTACTCCGCTGAAATAGGCAGACCACCGGAGTTTGGACCGCTCTCCACTGTAACTAGGACGTACGGAGACCGTCGGAACAGCGTCGTGCGCTGTTCCGCCAGCACGTACCACAGTGAGCGACATGCGGCCGGCTGAGCTGCCGCCGCACTGCGTGGGCGTGCTCCGACTTCCGACAGGGGACCGTGATGTGCCGAACACCCGTGACGTGGGACCTGCCCTCAGGCGTATCTCAACTACATGGGACAGGGGACCGTGATGTGCCGAACACCCGTGACGTGGGACCTGCCCTCAGGCGTATCTCAACTACATGGGACAGGGGACCGTGATGTGCCGAACACCCGTGACGTGGGACCTGCCCTCAGGCGTATCTCAACTACATGGGACAGGGGACCGTGATGTGCCGAACACCCGTGACGTGGGACCTGCCCTCAGGCGTATCTCAACTACATGGGACAGGGGACCGTGATGTGCCGAACACCCGTGACGTGGGACCTGCCCTCAGGCGTATCTCAACTACATGGGACAGGGGACCGTGATGTGCCGAACACCCGTGACGTGGGACCTGCCCTCAGGCGTATCTCAACTACCGGCGGAGGAGCACCGAAGGCTGGGCGATCGGCAACGTGCTGCTGGACTTCACGGGCGGCTCGCTCAGCATCCTGCAGATGTTTGTGGACGCCTATAATTATGGTACGCGCCTTCTTGTTAGACTATGAGTGGGGTGGAGTTTCATTACGCGGGGGTTCTCTGACACGGGCACGATCAATGTTGTAATGAAATGCTTGGTAGCACTTCAATAGGTTATATTTTTATTATCTAAGTAGCTCAAGGTTACGCGCAGAAGTTTTCTCGGCTAAGTTTGCTAGACTTTCGAACAAAACAATTATCCACTATTTATTAGCCAGATGCCGCTGGTGAGGCCCGACCCGGTGAGGCGACGGGTCGACTGGACTGGGCCCTGTGCCCGCGGGCGGCACACGCTGACCGGGCCCAGAGGCACGGGGACCCGGATCCGGCCTACGGGGATGGGGCCGGGTGTCACCATCCCGGTCCCTTGCTGAGTTCGCTGGCTGACGCCCTGTGGCTGTGACGCGTCCTGTCGGTGGCCGCTCTGAGACCGCGAGGCTATTGTGGGACTCGGCCTATGTTCCAGACGACTGGACTTCGATATTTGGGAACCCGACCAAGTTCGGATTGGGGCTGTTCTCGGTTCTGTTCGACGTCCTGTTCATGTGTCAGCACTACTGTTTATACTCGTGAGTACCATGCGGACACTGCCCAGCTGGCTTGCTAAGACGCGGTCACGCACGTGCTGCGCATGGGCTCTGTATTCTTTGTCGGGTCCGTGTCCTCGTTGATGGAGTTATAGTGTTGTGCGTGTGTTGTTCCATTTTGTATTGTCTGTGATTGGTGTGCAGTGTTGTAGTCCCTGATCAAGACTCAGGCTTGGACTTGCACTTGGACTTGGACTCGGGCTGCTTCAGACGTCAGCCGCTTTGTGGCCCCGCAGCTGACCGGGGTATCCGTCTCGGACACCTGGAAACGTTGACTTTGCCGGCAGAGACTTCTCCGTTAACTGCTCCTTCTCCGAACCCATGTCAGCCGCCGCCTCCTGTTCGTCCACGTCCTCTATTGACGATGCCCTCGGCTGCTGGCTCTTCCAATTGGGACCTGCTCTGTTCCACATCTGAACTGGATCTCTCCAACCTTTCACACACGTAAACCGTCTTGCTCCCATCTGTCTCACATCCGAACCGGTTTTTCAACCTGTCACACACGTAAACCGTCTTGCTCCCATCTGTCTCACATCCGAACCGGTTTTTCCAACCTGTCACACATGCAAACCAGTTCTCTCACCTTTCACATCTGTGAACCGGCTCTCTCCCACCTTTCGCTCCTGTGAACCAGCTCTCCCACCTATCATACATCCGAACCGGATCTCTGCCACCTATCACACATCCGAACCGGATCTCTTCCACCTATCGCACATCCGGACCGGATCTCTTCCACCTGCCACACTTATCGACCAGCTCTCTCCCACCTGCCACACATGTGAACGGACTTTTCCGCCTGTCACACACGTAAACCAGCTCTCCCTCTGTCCCACACGTGTCCTTGCCTTGTCCCATGGGAATGAGCCATATCTAACAACTTGACTCACCTTGCCGCAAGTGATCCGCAATTAGTTCTCCATCTGAGCCGGCCATGTCGTCTCTGAATAAGCCACGTCTCCCACGTGAACCAGCCCTGTTTATACTTAATCTCACCTTGTCCCATCCTGTCTTGCGCCGGCGATTCGATCCAGGCACGGACCGCACGAGACCGCCGTTTAAGGCTTGGCTCGCTGTCGCGCTGGGGTGTGCTTGATTGTGCTCGGTGCTCCGGCTGTTCCCGGCGCGCTCCCTGCTCAGCGTCTTACGTGCCCCGTTCCAGTGGTAGGAGTGCGTACCACGTGCTGGAGGGCCCGCTAGTTGGCTCCGCCGATCTGATGCGGCTATAGGTGAGGCATGAACTGCGCGCGTCTGTCTGCCAAGCGCCGCAGTCTGCGCTGGCTGAAGAGTTTGGTATTAGCGAAACAAAGATCGTGCGGCTCGGCTGTTTCTATGCGTGGCTGGGTATCACACACCTGCAGTGCCGCCGTGCAGCACCGCACTACGTTATGTTACTTCCTATGTCACCGAATATCACAAGTAGCGTGTGCTGTGTTTATGCAATCCGCACAGAAAGCTAACAGCTTCTGTTGATCAGGCATGTACATCGTGAGGACCGAGTCAGTGTCGTACCCTGGACTCCGGGAGCTTTGCCTCCCGGCTGGAGAGGTGTGCTGGCGCTGCGTGGTTGCCAGGGCTGTACCGTGCGGCGTGTTCCAGGTCCCGCCGGTCGGAGCTGTTGGACTCGGAGCGCACCGGTGACTCGTCTGCCGGTGGCGGGACGGACTTCAAGCTCGAGTCAGATCGACGATTCTAGGGCCGGCCGCCGCGCCGGCTCCACTGACGGGCCCCGCTCGGGGTGAGCCTCGTGCAGTCTTCGCCGGCCGAGAGAAGGGTGGACCGGCACGCGGCGGAGCGCCGCACGTGGGGACCCGTTGTGTCAGCGAGGGAGGCGGGTTGAGTTTCACCCCAAGATCATCGAGGCCGCCTTCCATAATCAGGCGTTTCTAGTCCGCAGTTGCTGAAATATGTACAGTTGCATCAAGACTGTGTACCGGGTCGACTAACTCACGCGGTGTACACATCCCATGCTCTTCCAGTTTCCACATAATGGATCAATTGTCTTAGGAACAGAAGCAAACGAAGTTAGTGTGATTAGAGGTTCGGACGGCTTGGCGTTGCTGTATTTAAATGGCACGGTGAAGTTAACATAGGCTCCAGCAGAGACACATGAGCGACCTTCGTGGGAGCATCACAAACATCGCTGCTCTGTGCCGTGGCTGATAAGATTTGAATTTCGGCAGATGGTGACTGGCGTTAATGTGTTGACTCGTAATCGTCTCACTATTACAGAACACATTGTCACTGTGATGTTACAATGAACGTTCGGGTACAGCACCTGCTGAGTGGCGTATGGGTGGCCAGCTTTGTATTTGCTGTGTTGTTGCCGGTAAGACATTGTGTGCTAGTGTGTCACTCTATTTCGGAGTGGGTGACAGCTATCCGCCAGTGTTTACAGATTTGATAGCTTTCGAACAATGTTTTTAAGTATCCGGAAGTTGCCGAAATGCCGTCACGGTGATGTGATGAACTGCTGCCGGCTTACGTACAAGTGTCAGGAAACGCACGACCGGAACTGTGTTTTGATGACGTTTACAAAACTTTCCGGCGCTCAATATCAACAGAAAAGTGGCGACAAACGTTTGTTATACATGTATAATCACAGGAGACTTGAAATGCTCGCTACAGAAAACGTGCGTGAGTCTGCTTTGGACAGCTGCGTTTTCTAACAGCATCAAACACATGCGGTTTCTAACGTAGCTTTAAATCATGCTTCCAATAGCTGCAAATGTCAGCGTGATATACCGTCTATGCATTTATTCTTCATTTTATTGCCATGCATCCTAACAGTCATTGATTCAATGTTCATATCGGTCTTTCACACAAGCTGTGGATGCAAGTTAGTATTCGCCAGTACCAGTTAATCGGTGCCATTTAACTTAGTCACCGTTCTCGCGAACATCTACAGGTGTCCAAATGTGGTCATCGCAGGATTTTAAATAATATGCGTCATTATGCGCGCCACGATTGGTGACCAAGTTTCCGTGCCATGTGCGTGATGCGTGCATACACACACTGCTGCCTCGCTGTTGTTTGCTTCTCGCTCCCCTCGCTTGCAGGCTGCTGGCGTCCGAGATGGATGGTGAGAGACTGCTGCGTGCAGCACGGCAGGCGGCCGCTGCGACTGCGGCTCTGGCGGGATCAGGCGCTGTAGGGCACCGCTGGTGTCAGGGAACCAGCCTCCTTGGGGTGCCACTGGCGTTAGGGAACCAGTCTGCGGGGTACCGCTGGTGTCGGCGGACGAGTTGCTGCAGTGTGGCTTTACTGCCAGGGTTTGTGTTCCCGGGAGGTAGCCCTGGTGCCACATGGTCAGTCGTTGTGTGTAGTGGTGTCGTTGGGAGCAGCCGATGTGAAGTGCTGATGTACAAGGATCAACATGCGTGAGGCAGCGCTGGTGTCACGGGTCAGTCGCCATAGGTGACGTTTGCTTCACACCTGATGGGATCGGCCCGCTCAGGTGGCGCCTTTGCCACTGGATTGCCCGCCGCCGGGCGGCAAAGGTGTCACGACCTGGCCACACTTCACGACCCGTCGGCTGGTCGGCACTCGCTCCCACCGCGTACGTGGTGACAAGAGGCGTCAATGGAGGCTACCATGCCGCGATTTGGACGAGTGTATGGGAAAATGCTAAGAGAAGCACGTTGGTTTCCAGCAGTTGCGGTTATTTACGGGCGGACCATGCATGGGCGAGAAGGTAGTGGGCCAGTTGAGAATGAGCTGCCTGAAAATCTGGCCGAATCCCGAGTCACCTGGTCGACGACTCCTGGTGACGCCAGTGTTAAAAGAAGGCCTAAAACTTTGTTGGTACGTGAGTGATTTGACATTGGTGGTCGAGCGTATATATATGGTACTCATGGTACTATGGCAGTTACTTTGAAGTCAGTAATAGGAATTCGCCGTTGGTGCCGGCATGACGATGTATAATTATCATCGCACTGAACGTGTGGAAGCCCGCAAGTAAAGTATCACAAACTGCTGGAGTAAACACGGCTGCGACGCATGACGAGTAATGATTCCTTGGCACCGGATCAACCTGCTACAGATGGAAGACAGGCAGTTGGGAACGGTGGCTTGGCATCACCGTGCGAAAGTGACTATCTTCCAGGTCTAAAATTTAACTGCACGTACAAGCCCTCAGTAATTTTCCGTCTTGTCAGTCGTCTGTCCGACATTATGAAAGCATTGCTCTTCGTGCCAAGTATATTCTCACCATTCCGTACCGTTTTCCCAAGATTCTGCGCAATTATATCGAATGACATGTAGCAACGAGACAAGGGGCCATGTACAAAGCCTGCACATCATCTTCGACGCAAACCGGTGTACGGTCTTGCGCCAAACGTATGCTGCGGCGCCCACCGCCGCGGACAAATCTCAAAAGTGCAGCCACGCCTGTGGTCGCAGTTTCTGCTAAAGCTCATGACTAATGCGGGATGCAACATCGTACATGAAAACACAGCCAACAATGCACTGCGGCGGCCGCCTGCTCAGCACCGGGCAGGGTCCATGGAGAGAGCCAAGCTGACGTACGTGACCCGCAACGGCGTTTTCAACACGGTATCCCGCGGGCTCGACTTCCGCTCTGTTAGTTTTATTCGTGTTGCCCGCTGGTCGGCCGGGGTCAGACACAGCTGGGCGCGCACTGTAAACCGAAGTATCGGCCTCAGCCTGAGCGAGAAGGCGGAAGCAAATGCCTTCAATGTGGAACTGTTTTGGTCAGATACGGTACGGCCTATTGTGATGTTCGGGGGTTGTATCATTGTCTTTGTTCCGGATATGTTTCAGTTGAAAGACAGCATATTGATATCAAACTAGAGAAGTCTGAGCCTGCCGGTCTGTGATAACTGGCCTGCGAATAAGACTAGGCTACGGTCCAACGGCTGTTACCACGAATTTGACGGTACAACAGTATTAATATAAGATGGTACCGCAAGAAAAAAAAAACAAGAGCGCAGTGCTAACCCTCGCCCGTCGCCCTTCGCCCTGATTCGCAGCTTTTCATTACGCGGACTGATAGGCGGGGGGGGGGGGGGGGTAGAAGGGGTCGGTGGGGGGGGGGCGATGCGACCCCTCTGGTGTTTCCAAAGAAATGGAAATGAGCTTAGCTGAAAGCAGGTGGATTGGACGCAACAAGATCTCGCATGTACTAATTTATAAAATTTCGTAAGCTGTTCAGTGCACTTACAAGGAGCATTATTCACATACATCAGACGGCAGTTATAGCCTTATTCCTCGGAGAAAAGCAAGGGGAATGGAGATTAGATGGGTTGATATTTTGGCAACATGCCTTTATCGAAACGATGGCAGATAACAGTAGCATGCGTTTATCAAAACAAAACTGCTTTCGCTTCGATGAAGGCATGTCGAAATATCAACCCATCTATATCTCTATTCTCCTGATTTCTTATGAGTAACAAGGATGTTGATGCCGTCGTATGTACTAATCGTCATGTTTGGTCAATAATGAACCCCATTATGCCGGGTCTAAGGTCAAATTTTCCAGAATATCGCACCTTTTCGGCTTGACAACATCATGCACACGAGACCATGCCTCGTGGTGACACGGAATCTGAACAGGCGTGTGCCTCCCTCAGTCGAAATACAATGTCGTACATTGCTATGTGTGTTGATATATTTATGATACATGGCGCCGTCGTTGTATTAATGCCGGCAACGGCAATGCCGTCCCGCAGTTTACGCGTCACCGGATCCGCTGGGAGGCATCCCCTGTCGACTTCAGCACGACGGAGCAGATGTCGTATAACCGACCTTTTACAATGGCCGAACTAATTTCCGCGATCGGATCGCTGCGCAATGTGGCAAAGGGTCCGGATCTAGTTCACAACGCCATGCTTAGGCAACTCCCCACTTCAATAGTTGAGGCCCTCTTAGCAACGTACAACAATCTCTGGGAGAATGGAGGTTTTCCGGAGTCGTGGCGTGAGTCACATATTGTCCCTATGGTCAAGCCTGGTAAGAGCGGGGCTGACCCTGCTGACTATCGCCCTATCTCACTGACATCATGCATTTGTAAGTTGATGGAACGTATGGTAAATGTGCGTTTGTCGTGGTTTTTGGAGCGGTACAACGTTTTTACGGCTGCCCAATGTGGATTCAGGAAAAATCGCAGCACCATTGACCATCTTATAGCTCTCGACACAAACATCCGCACCAGTTTTAGGGAAAAACGACATGTTGGCGCTGTGTTTTTTATGTTGAAAAAGCCTATGATTCGACGTGGCGTTACGGTATCCTGAAAAAGCTCTTTCATTATGGCATTCGAGGAGCCATGGGCACGTTCTTAGCGAACTTAATGACCGATCGTTCTTTCAGAGTTCGTGTTGGCTCACACTTCTCGGATAGGTGCCAATAAGATAATGGCGTGCCCCGGGGCAGCGTTTTGAGCGTCGCTTTGTTCGCGGTGATGCTTAACGATATTGGTGACTCCCTTCCAAAGTCGGTCAGCCGCTCTCTCTTCGTGGATGACGTCGCCATCTGGTATGCCCTCGTCGAACTTTGCCTTTTTGGAGCGTCGCTTGCAGTTGGCTGTGATCAGCCTGGAAAGATGGAGCGTTATAAACGGACTACGTTTCTCAACCTCGAAAACAGTCGCTATGCACTTTTGCAGACGACGTCGTCAATGCCCCGCTATGGCTTTAAGGCTACACGGCCAGACCATCGCGAACGAATCCAGTACCCGCTTCTTGGGTCTGTAGTTTGATAACCGTTTATCGTATGGGTCACATTTGAAAACCTTACGTGACAGCTGTTTTAAAGCATTGAACATATTGAAGTATGTGTCCCGAACATTTTATGGAGCGGACAGAAGAACACTGTTACTGCTACACCGCTTATTTATACGTTCGAAACTTGACTATGGCTGTTTTATTTATGACCGCGCGCCGAGTTCCTCCAAACGTTTATTAGACACCGTGCACCATACCGCATTACGCATTGTGAGGGGGGCATTCAGGACGTCGCCAGTTGCTAGCCTTACCGTGGAAGTTGATGAACCGGCGTTCGGCTCTGGGAAGGGAAATGCTTGGCATGCGGTACTTTTGCAAGCTGGCTCAATTTCCCAATCATCCGACTCACCGAGCAATCTTTTCACGTGATGTGGAAAGTAAGTTCCAAAGTAGCGGAAGGCTGTCCGCTATTCCATTTGGTGTCCATATGAAGAAGCTGTTCCGGGAAAGCGACATAAATTTGCGTGGTGTGCTAAGGTCGCGTCCCGTATTAGTGCCTCCATGGGAGCTAATCTCACCAAAAGTGGATGTATCCCTTTCATGCACTAGCAAACAGAGAGCGATCCTATGCGACCTGAGATCGAAGGCTCTGGAGCACATCGGGTCGTACATAGGTTTTCAAGCCACATATACTGATGGGTCCAAGACGGAGGTAGGCGTTGGTGCTGCATTTGTGAATGACCAGGCCACCCGGTCCTTTTCTTCACCGAAACACGCCTCATTTTACACGTCCGAGCTCGTTGCAATCAGTAAAGCCCTATGCTCCATCGAAGTTGGTGAGAGCAACCCACACGTGATCTTATCCAATTCTTTGAGCAGCCTGTTGGCTCTGACAACCCTTAACCCACCTTGTCCCATTATACAGGATATTTTAGTTCGCCTGAGAGCGCTAGATCTTGCTGGTAAAACTGTCGTCTTTTGTTGGATACCGAGTCATGTGGGTGTCGCAGGTAACGAGCGTGCTGGCGCGGCCGCAAAACGGGCAGCGCGTGCACCTTGCACCCGTTCTTTGCCCTTGCCGGCAAGGGACTTTTATCCTGGAATCGCGACCTTTGTGAAGGGGAAGTGGCAACGCTGCTGGGACGCCATTGTAAACAATAAGTTAAAGATGATCAAGCCACAACTGGGTCCATGGTCTTCAAGCTCACGTAAGTTGAGACGCGAAGAAGTAACCCTCAGCAGATTACGAATTGGCCACACGCACGCAACACATAGCTACCTTTTGTGCGGTGAAAAACGTCCCAAATGTCCTCGCTGTGATGCGCCACTTACGGGTCGGCACGTTATTCACTCTTGCCCACAGTTCAGAGAAGAGCGGGCGCTTTACTTCGGACGAGATGCGTCAGGTCTTACCTTTTCAGACCTTATTGGTGACGACTCTCGCACGCTTGGCACCGGACAGCTGTTTTCATTTTTTGAGAAACGTAGGATTCACAGCCATTTACACACCGCGGTAAACACTTAGCTGTTATGGGCGCAAAATGACCCTAGAAGTCGACGCGCCCTAAAACCCCAATCATTATCATTAATGCCGGCCCACCGCGCACGTTCCGCGGCATCGTCGGTGGCCGCCCGCCGGCCCCACCAAGCCGCAAATCGCCGTGCGTTGCTCCTAAAAAACCGCTGCTGCTCCGAAAACAAGGAAAGCCTGGAGCACTCTTTGGTGTCAGGGCACGTGCGATGAAAGCCACCTAATCTATTGGAAATTTGGGCGCAATGGCACGACATGCCGGACAGGGAGAACAAGAAAATTGAGTCATAAAAGATCAAATTCGAGTAAATAGTCACTTGAGAAGTTACTGGGCGTGGCAACGGCAAGGCAATTCAGGTGACTGCGATATGGACGCATTTGGAATATGAGTAAACAGAAGACAAACGATCGTAATTGCAGCGCAATGCACAGTACCCTAACGTTGATCACTCCAAGCTGCGCAACATGACCAATAAAGATCGGGTATGTGGTCCGCGCGCCCGAAATTTCCAAATATCACCGTTACATCTAACCTAAAACGCTGCCGCCTACGGACCCAACGCCATTGGTTTCTACGTGTCTGCGAACTCCACCCAATACGGTCGCCTACGCCGTGCGGTCAAGTTCACATCTTATCAGATTACTGACGGGTTTTGGTGCAGTGTTTCACTCTCACTCCGGCTGTTCAAAGCATTCGGTCAGTCGGTGTCCGAGTTCCCCAAGAAATAAAACTGCAAGCCTGCGGCCCTGCATATAATTGCAGAATGCCGGATGAATGAAAATATGCTTCCCAAAATGGAGCTCAACTGCCCTAGCAGCCCACAACAATGGGTTCAAATGATGACCGCAAAGGCGTGATCAATACATTGCCAAGTACTCCCTTCATTAAAGTTGAACTGGTAGATGTCTGTTCCTGCAGTATCATTTAGTTGTTTTTTTTTGAACGCGCCAATTTACGGATGGAGTTGCTTGAAGGTCTGTTGACTGAGAGTTGAGTCAAGCCCGGCAGTTTTAGCAGACAGCATCGATTGATGTTACATTTAGTTCACTTATTTGGAAAATGTGAAACTCATTGACGAACAACACACAACGGATCGCGCTGACACTGGCCGCGCTGAGCAGGGCTGTAACCAGCTGTGGCTTTCTTAGTCTAATAATCTCTATTGGTTTGTGCCGGCAGCTTATTGCATTCTAGATTGGGTAAGAAAAGATGGCACTAACGTTCGACGGCTTTGAGACGTTTTAGTGATTTGCAGCTGGTACATCAGCCTACAAAGGGTAGCTAGTTTCATGTGTTTATCTACCAGGCTGCAAAATTCTGACGAAAATGTCCGTCACCCAAAGCGTAGGCGTTGCCTATAAGTAAACCAATGGCATATAAAAAACGTGATATTGCAACGCTCCAAAGAAAATCGCCGGCATCAAATATCATTTCGATGCCAAGCACTTCATGCATAGCACAACTTCCAAAGAAATTAGTTTCTTGCTGCGGAAAGTGACACAACATGTGATAAGCGGTCGCAAAGTCATTAACTTCAGAAAACGAAATGAACACTTTTTTTGCCCTTAACTTTAGAAATTGCCCGTTACCAAGCATGACTGGATGGGGAGGGGTAGACCGAGGAGAGCTTCTCAAGTTAAAAGTTTTTTTTCTGAAGATCAACTAAGACTAATGCTGTCTGCAGCTTTGCGCATGATGCAGTGATGAAATATATAATGTAATTATGTCCTTGCAATTCTCATAATTGTTCTCCCCACCTGCCTTCAATTGTCAGTAACTCCAGGAAACAACAGCTCTTTTTGTAGCGCTGATTTGGTCATCGACACATTGCCCGTGACAGACTTCACCATTCCGATACCGTACGGTAGCGGTCTACACCCGCAGTAGTCTCTGCTGTGTAGTAATGGACGTGGTTCGAGAATTCCCTAGACTTTCTACCCTTATATACGAAAGATCTGAAAACGGAAAATTGTGCTTACTTCCGCATGTCAGATGGATGGAACATTCCTTGGAAGGAGTTGAGCACACCAAAAATTTGTGTCGGCGTGAAAAGAAGTAGCTTTTCGTCTTGATGGCATTCCACACCTTTCTCTCCTTCACGGTTTTTGCTTTTGCGCTTGTGAAGTATAGCATAGTAGAGACCCGCATAAGCCAATTGGTGGCCAGCTGGCGCGTGGAGAGGTTGTGTTTTGTGGCGCTCCCTGGATATCGGTGATCTGAGTACGTCGTGTAGTTGAAGTTTTCAGCTGAGTAAACAACTTGATTTGTAGACATTAAGCTTACTTTTGAAGTTGTTGTTCAAAGTAGATACTGTACTCTTCCGACGATAGACCTTAACGTCGGTGAGTGTTTTGAAAGACGCGCCAGGCACTGTCATGGTCGCCGGGGCCAGCTTGAAGACATTGAGAGGACGCAAAGCCCGGACAAGCCTGGAGCATCGCAAATGCTTTGGATCGTTGGCCGCGGGATAGTGGGCCTGCCTCTGTGCGCCATGCTCCGCTGGTGTGGAGTTACTGAGCTGTCGCGGGTTCAAGTCCGATCGGGGGCTGGGGTTTTAGCCCTGCTGTTTGTTGTATTCCTGGCATGTGATGGCCTCCGCGATGACAAGAGACAAGAGTTAGATGCTGTCGGCACCGCTTTCTCTGTACCAGGGTTTGGACCTAGTGGTCTGTTCCCGTCTGTTCTGCAGCGTTGACGTGAGCCCATCAAACCTATCTGGTGCTGCTGACTTCTGGCGAGTTTCCTTCTCTCTGGAGATGTGGAAGTGAACCCAGGGCCTGCGCACAGGCTGAGAACGCTGCGAGTGTTTTGCGAGAACGTCTGCAGCTTGAAGAACAAGTTATGCGCTCTGCGCTCTCATTGTGGCCAGCTAGCTGACTTTGATGTTGTCGGCCTGACCGAGGCATGGCTCGGATCACATGTGCTGGACTCTGAGCTACAGCTGGGCCTCTCGGACCATGTCTGGTTCCAGAAGGACAGGAACGGCAGAGGAGGAGGCGTTGCTTGCGCAGTGGAGACAAGCCTGTCACCTGTTTATCGACCAGACCTGGAGCCCGACTGCGAAGGTGCTGGCGATCCAGTTGCGGACCATCTACCCTGTCATCATGGCTGTGCTGCTGACCGGGATGTCGATTCGAGCGTTGCCTTTTTCCAGAGCATTTTCTCCGCCAATCTACCGTTTCTCATCGTGGGCGACTTTATGTTGCGTGAGATGTGGTGGCAGGGTAATGGCGACGAACATACGCTACTTAGACACACTCTCAGAGCCGTCAAATTCCTAGACGCTGTGGCTGGCTGTGAAGCGGTACAGTCTGCAACGTCACCATCGCACGGTGAGAATACCCTGAGCCTGGCCATCTCCTATGGCGGAGCTGTTGCATCTAAGGTCGTCAGCGGTATTTTTCACTTAGACCACTGTATGGTGACGACTCATTTTTCTGTAAAACGTGGGCCGGCCCCCGCCCTTCCCAATCTAAGGTTTTCAGCTGCAAACAGGCGGGCTTCAACGGCCTGCGCACTGCTCTCGGGCTTATTCCTTGCGTATTCTAAATGATGTAAGTGTTGATGACACTGTCCACCCGTTCTATGATCTTGTACTTGCTAGTGCTGCAGACTTCATGCCTTTTGTTGAACTCCGAAGTAAATTTCCTCCATGGTTTGACCGGTCCGTTCGAGACTTGCTGCGTGACAAGGAGATGGCTCACAGACGTAAGAAAGCGTTTCCGACCGCTGAAAATATTGCTAGGCACCGTACTGCTAGAGCCGACTTCAAAACAGCAGCTGATGCTAAATATCGCAAGTATTTGTTGGGTCTAGTGCGAGACTTTAGGGACAACCCGAAATGTTATTGGTCCTTTGTTAAGTCCTTGAAGTCATCCGCGCACATATCTCCCGTTCTTGCGTGTGATGGTAATGTGCACAGGGGTGATGAGAAGCCTGCCAACTGTCTGAATGTGTGTTTTACTCGTGCGAAAATGCGATGGCAATGTGTGTAAGGGTGATGAGGAGCCTGCCAACTGTCTGAATATGTGTTTTGTTCGTAAGTTCTGCGACCCTGACGTTCGTATATCGCCTGACCCACCTTTGCTCGATGCGCCTGGACTAGACAGCTTTACCGTACCACATGGCCGTATAGCACACCTGCTACACGATCTCAGTGCAAACGAGGCTTGCGGTCCAGACGGACTCAGTGCCCGGATTATCATGGAATGTGCCGATGAGCTAGCTGTCCCGTTAGAAATTACATGCAAGCTTTCTCTAAACTTTTGCGTCTTTCCCGCCATGTGGAAGCAAGCGAAAGTGATGCCGGTGCACAAGAAGGGGTCCAAAAAGCTGCCTGAAAATTACAGGTCTGTGTCTTTGTTTCCTATCTGCTCAAAGATATTGGAGAAAATTGTGAGCGGAAGCCTATTACAGGTTTGTCTGCCCGCCCTTCTCCCATCTCAGCGTGGATTCCTTCCAAAGCACTCTTGCATCACAAACCTTTCATGTGTTCGTGAACACTGCTGGACATCTATCTCAAAAGGTAAACAAACAGATGTGATTTACACCGATTACTTTTCAGCATTCACCAGCGTGAATCACCTTCTGCTACACAAGCTTCACTATTCTTTTTGAATTTTTTGGATTTGGGATTCTTTTTGGGCCGTGCGTACAGCTGGCTGAAGTTGTGCCTGAGCAATCGGTGACAGCGCGTTGCGCTGAATGGCAAGCAGTCTGACTGGATTCCAGTACAATCTGGTGTCCCGGAAGGCAGCATCACGGGACTGTTGCTGTTCGCCTGATTTCTGGCTGACGTTCCTGACCAAATCGAGAGTGAATGCCTTATGTACGCTGATGATGTTAAAATTTTTTCACCGAATTGACAGCATAGACAGGTTGTCTTACACTTCAGGCGGATTTAGATCACCTCTGTGAATTGTCCAAAAACTGGGCACTCAAATTGAACCTAGCTTAGTGCATTACCATTTCATTCACCCTCCGCATGTCACCTGTTCATTACTCATACGCACTAGACGGTCATCACTTGGATAGCTGCCAGCAGATTCGCAATTTTTGCGTCTTTCTGGGCACCAAACTCACCGTTGCCAATCACATAGATTCAGCCGTCTCAAAAGCAAACAGGTTGCTGAGTCCTATGCAAAGCGTGCATGTGCCGTTTTGCCCCCGTCAGGGGCGGTTCAATCACAATGCTTTGTTCTGTGCATTCAACGCTCATGTGAGATCATTGGTGGAGCGCGGTAGCGTTCTTTGGAGCGGTGCTGCCGTTTCCCATCTCGCCCGGTTCGAAAAACTTTCTCATGTGGTTGGGTTCGAGTAGCCAGTCTCGGTGTCCTCCACTGTATTATGAGCATCTTCTCACTTTCTCGAAAACAGCATCTTTCAAGGCACGCTTTGCTCAGTCTAACATCGTATTTCTTTACAACGGATATCATCACAGGCTTGACTGCGCTCAGCTGACATCACCGTTTATTTTGGCTACACCCGTCCGGCATTCTCGGCATATCGGCCTTTTGCATCAGCCACATCCAATGGTGAACACTGTTAACTTATGGAGTGGAGTGGAGTGGAGCCGGCGCGGCGGCCGGCCCTAGAATCGTCAGTCTGACTCGAGCTTGAAGTCCGTCCCGCCACCGGCAGACGAGTCACCGGTGCGCTCCTGAGTCCAACAGCTCCGACCGGCGGGACCTGGAACACGCCGCACGGTACAGCCCTGGCAACCACGCGGCGCCAGCGCACCTCTCCAGCTGGGAGGCAAAGCTCCCGGAGTCCAGGGTACGACACTGGCCCGGTACTTACAACGTGCATGCATGACACAGCAGGAGCTGTTAGCTCCCTGTGCAGATTATATTAAGGAAATGTTCCAGATTCTAAGATAACGCAGGATGCATCAAATATGATAAATCAATCTTTTTTACTGCTGGCTATGCAAAAAGACTGTTCCTAATACATAATTTCAACATAATTTCACTACTTAATAAGTATGCTCCTCATACGTCATCGATTGAGCACATGTTCATAGTTTCAGGTTCGCTGCCAGACTGGCTGTGTCAGAATTGCCTACTGTGGTGTGCGGACTGACTCACTTGCAGTACTTCAACTGGGCAAGATATGGCTTGTTTATCTATGCGTGTGGACTAAACTAAATATCGTTATATGCGCTAGTTTCGACCCGTTTTCGTGGTGTCCGTGTGCATTTGTCTGCGATGACATATTTTTCTCGTATTGCATCCGTCGGTACGGGGCTATTCTTACGTCATTCAATTCTCAGCCCCATTTCCTGTCACAATACTTGTGATGTGCTTCACAAAACCCCATTGGCGTTTGAAATTTATATTCAACGCCTGAAGCTGGTTGAAGGCCAACCGTTGTCCATTCATGTAACAGTTTGTGCTCAATTATTCCAGACACGAGCAAATCAATGTTTATCTGACCCGGAACACAGCATGATAAGATGAGCACATGAACACAACATCACACTTATGATGCCCAGCACTAATACATTACAACACAATGTTGTGTTATGTTGCACGAGATCATTGCAGGCGTAGGACAGGCATGTGGGCAGCAGGGTTGAGTTTTTTTCCTGACTGACGAATCGCACAAGCTACGATGGCGACGAATCGGTTGCGTTAACCGATGGGTCCCTTAACGAGTTGCGCGGTTCCCGTCGCTGGGAATGTGCACATGGAGTGCTGAGCACGGGGAGCACCCGAGAACGGCCGGAGTGCAGAGATAGGCTAAGATCAAAGCAGGCCGGCGAATCGTCAGCATACCTGCGGTACTCACGTATATAAACAGTAGTGTTGGCACGTAAACAGGGCATCGAAAAAAATTGCCACCAGCCCCAATCCGAACTTGGTCGGGTTTCCAAATATGGCAGTCCAGTCGTCTGAAACATAGGACGAGTTCAACAATAACCGCTCGGTCTCAGAGCGATCACTGAAAGGACGCGTAACAGCCATAGGGTGTCAGCCACTGAACTACGTGACGTCAGCACGGTGTCGGTCAGCCTGGCTCGGTCCGTTGGCGGGATCCCGATCTTGTGCCTCGGGGCCCGGCTCGGCGAGGTCCACCCACTCTAGACGGTCAGCCTGGCTCGGTCCGTGGGCGGGACCCCGATCTTGTGCCTCGGGGCCCGGCCCGGCGAGGTCCACCCACTTTGACAACACCCGACCTACGTCCGCCCGGTAGGGACCCGATGCTACCCACAAGATCCACCCAGTCCTGACCGGACTGGACCGAGACCCGTCTGGTTCTGACCGGACTGGACAAACGAGATACCAACAGTCCCGACCGGACCGGGCCAATGAGATCCATCTAGTTCTGACCGGATCGTGCCAGCGAGGTCCAGACAGTCCTGATCGGGCTGTGGATCCTCAGAGTCCGTAGCCTGACTTCCAATGCAAGCATGCAGAGCATACCCCACCCCACCAATGATATTCTACCAAACCAGGAACGGAATGGGCCAGTGAGATGCATCCAGTCATGACAAGCGGGTCCTGAGCCACCCCACTCAGATCTCAGAGAAAAGATATACCCGCCTCAGCCGGTTTCGCCTGATCGCTGCCTCCTCGCGGCCAGCAAATACCGTAATTATAGGCGTCCACAAACATTTGCAGAACGCTGAGCAATCCGCCCGTGAAGTCTAGCAGCACGTGCCCGATCGCCCAGCCTTCAGTGCTCCTCCGCCGGTAGTTGAGATACGCCTGTGGGCAGGTCCCGCGTCACCGCTGTGCGGGATGTCACGGGCTCCTGTCGGCGGTCAGAGCGCGCCCAGACACTGGCACGCAGTACAGTGGTGTTGTTGGACAGTGGCGTTGTGCTGAACTGGCCTCATTCTGCACGCTAAGGTGCGTATTGACGAAAAGACGCCGTGACAGGTCCGGTTATAATTGCCCTACAAAAGGAGGTGAGCCTCAGTAGTCTTCCTTACGATTTTTTTCCGGAATAACCCCTGGATATTGTGGCCATGGCCTACAATTTTGTGTTGCTGAGATTGCATCACATTTATACGTGCTATGAGGCATACCATTTTCTGACCTGGACGATTCATCATTTATGACCTCTTTCTCGAGATCATACCGGTGGCATTTTGTTCAAAAGTGGAGGACATCGTGATTCGCATTAAATGTAGTGAACGTGCAAGAGGTTCCCTGGACCGCATTTTTTTATTATCTATATCTACCTTTAGAGTGAATTGTAATTGTATGTATCGCTTTTACAAGGTTGGGTCATCAAATATCTTGCCAGGTCAAAACTTGACATTTGCGTCAGGATTTCGGCCCTTATAGTGCTGCACGACTTGAACTTTGATAGCCCCCTCTTTACAGCCCTTGGAAGGTCTATATGACGCTGTTTTCCCCACCTTCCATGTAGCTTATTTTTCGTTTTCATATGACCGGATGGCCCAGCACACCCATGGCTTTTAGCATTTTGACCGGACATGATATGTTACGGGTCGTATTACCGGATACCTGCTGGCGTCAGTTTGACAATATTTTTAATAGCAGCTCAACACGGTCGTGCACAATGTCACGCAGCGTTTTCCTCTTGAGATAACAGTAGGGTTTAAAATTGCCAACTTTTTTCTGTACCGTTACCCAAAAACAGATTACCAGGAGTGCCCCTCCACCTAGCACAGCGACGCATTAAACCGTTAGTTAACACCAGAAAACATAAAATCAAGTCGTGGCATTCCCAGCTAACAAGAGGAAACAAATATAAAGATGCAGACGAAGAGGTGGTGCAGACCCGAAGGAATTGTGTTATGCAGTAGGCAACGACAAATCATACATGAAAAAGCTTAAAGTAGCCCTTAGCCAAAGTCAGCTAATGACAGCCCGCTATAACCAGCCAATAAGCTACAAGCACTCATTCACAGTGTTAGTAAGGGTTGTTAAGTCACACAGGTCGAAAGGGCAATTACCTGTTTATTTCCGCGCTCGGGTGGGGTTCAAATTGATGGTTCCTTAAGCGTTTTCCGAAATGGTTTCCGAACGGCGCGGCGTAGCCGCGCCAAATTTTTCATAGCTGTAGACAATTAAAGAGCGGATCGTTTGGCGTCGAAAAATTTAGATGCACTTTGTAAGGTCGCTGATTTATGGTAGGTCAAACTCAGGCCATGGTTTCAGCGAAGGCAATTTCTAGGAAATCCTTCAATCGGATCCAACAACGGAGTGTTAGACGAAGCCATACATCTCTGAAATGCTTTCTTAGGCAACACAACAGTTGAATGAGCAAATTGCATTTACCTAGGGTCAGGTATGAAGGTCACATCAAGGTCAAAACCAACCTGTTTTGTTACTCTATGGCTTGCTGTATGGCATAGTTTATGGTGCTCATTTCAAGTTTATTGAGAGCAGGAGCCACATTATGCATCTTCCATGGACTTCTTAGAGGTCATAATAGGTCATTGACCTAAAATGACCCAGGTCCATATTTTGTTTTAGAAACATACTGCCTAGCGTAATCTTTGTCGCTTATTCAGATGCAACACTCAGAGCAGTCTGGTATGATTTTGGTCACCATGACCTTCAAAAGGTCAAACAATGTCACTGACCTTACATGAGCATACGACTTTTTGCTTAAAAGCAGTCATCTAGGTTCTGGGGGCACTTTGGGGACCAACCCAGAATTCGAAATTGTTTGACCTTATTTGACCCAAAGGTCACGACCTAGGAACCTGAAACGCTGACCCAAGTGAGCTCACGTACAGATCAACACACCTTGTACATTTGGTGTTTCTGTCTTTCTTAGTTCCCGAGATCTCAGGGAGGTCAAATTGCCCCTTCCCTCCCCACCCGAGCTAGACACACACCCGAGGGTATCTAGCCGGCCACCCGGGCGCGTGTTAATCCACTGATGACGAGAATTTATCCCTCTTCATTAGTGGGGCGTACATCCATTTCAGGTTCTACATTTGCAGCGAGTTGGAAGGGGTTGAATAATGATTTGGGAATCTTGTCCTTTAACTTTTATCCAGTCCCAGTGAAGAAGCGATTAAATTATTCCGTGATATCCAGATCATCTGTGAAATTTTTTCATTAGCCTCTGTAATCCTGGTTTGGTCTGCATCCCTATCTTGATCATCATAGCATCCTTGAAGTTGACAACTATAGCCTGATTTGACCTATGACGTGTCACATTTAGCACTGTTCGGCCACGTTTGTATGATGCAGTTTGACGGGAGTTCTCCATTGAAGTTTTCGCTTGGCTTCAGCTTGCTTAGTTTTTGAGGTCTTGGAGGGACCTCGAAGCTGACATCGCCGATGACGACATATTTGTGAACTTATGTCCCAACCAATGGTTGCAGAGCGCTACCCGGATCTATGATCTTGATCATGACCTTAAAGTCAACCTTGGGAGGTGCTGGACTGCATGCGAGGCTTTCATAATGGGTCTTCCCTTTTCCGGAAGCCTTCATGAGGCATTGTTGCTGCTTGACTTTGTTCTCTGACCTCTGGAGGTCAAATCATTCGAGATTGACCAAAACGGACGGTGTTTTTTTTAACCAACAGGCTGTCTTTAATTTATAGATGCGTTGTTAGCGGAATCGGAACTCGCCGCTGGATTCGAAAAGTAAAGCGTCGTAAACAATCGTACGTGGGATCCTTGCGTTTTTCTTTCGACCAGAATAGTTCATCGCGAATGGTGGTACTCTAGTGGACAAGGCCTCCATAGATATACAGCTTTCAAATATCACCTGATAAGTACAGGCTAGTCCCGCTTAACGACTACTACTTTATCCCTGTTTTCACCTTGGAATGCTGTGTTTTTACGGAAGGAATTTCATGTTAAGTGTAGAGCATTTGGAAGGCAAGGCTGAGCTAATGAGAGGCTTCAAGTATTATGTGATCTGAACAGATTGGTCCCATGCATTGGCCTTGTCATAATGCTCAGTTTTTTTTTATTTTGAACTTTACCTAAACGTTAGCCTTGGCATGCGTTACTTACGCCCGTGGCTGAATGCATCGCTATATTTCACATGGCGCCTTATGTCTACATTAAGTTATTATGTTGCATTGCTGCCTCTTGACTTTGTTCTTTGACCTCTGGAGGCTAAAACATTTAAGAAGCAAAACGAGCAATGTACTTGCAACAAACGTATATTGTCTGATCCACGAACGCGTTTATCCACGAACGCATTTGAAACGATATGGGAGCTCCAAGCTGAATTCCAGTGGAAATACACCACATATCATGACATCCGAAAAAGTTCTGCCGTCCCAATGACAATGGAGAGCGGCTCAAACCTACCTGGTGCGCATAACCTGGCGGGACCATGGCAAAGACAGCACCTCCCATAAATGATCTGGTGCCCTTTCTCTAACTTCCCTTTTTGGGTCCATTGCTTGAAGACATGGCCAAGGATCAACGTGAAATATGGAATTGTGGGACGAGGAAATACCCCCCCCCCCTCCCCCCAGGAGCATGACAAGTAATACCCCGGGACCGTGGTACAAATTGTCAGCGTCCAAGCCTTTAGTTAGTTATCCAGCCTACCTGTGGCACGTATTTGACTATGGTGATGGCCAGCTTCAAGTATGAGAACACGTAAAGGAACCAGAGCCAGTTGACGACTCCGCAGCCCGTGATGATGGCGGTGATGATTATCACGACGGCGAAGATCACCAGAAGACCTCTGGCTGCCGTGGAGACCCGCTGGTCCCCTCGCTGTAGGTTAACGGAAAGGTCAGCATATGACCTGATCTGAAGTTTGATCTGTGAGATGATCCTTGAGTCCCAGTGAGAGAAATTCAAGAGTTGTGAGTCTGAACCAGTACGGAGGAAGACATCAACATATGGGATACCTACAGCGCGCATTGATTGTGATCATCAAGGGGAGCATCGCTCTCTGTGGCAAGGTGTCGAGTGTTTGTAACGTGTTTGTATATTTAAGCAACCCCATTATCACATTTTCTCGACCTCAGACGAAACAAGCGGGAACGCGTCCAGGATTCGAGGCTCCATACATTTCCTTTCTTTCCATGCGTTCCCATGAGCTTAGTACCCCCACAATGCGACAATGTCTGCGCCTAGGCCGCAGCCAACTATCAAACCGTGCAGACAAAGGCCAGTCTAGTTGAGACCCTGTTAAGTGCTATCAACGCAGGCCCACATAACATCTCTACATCGCAGAGATAACGCAGCTCAGTGCTTCACATGATACAGTGTGACAAAGCGGAGGTCGGTAGGACTGTCAAGTACGCCTCCCAGCGTGGACGGAAGCTGGTCGTGTCTGGTGGCGTTACCGGTCACTACCGGTCACCACCGGTCACCACCAGCCATGAGCGGCCGTCACCGGTCATCAATGGTCATCACCGGTCACCACCGGTCATCAACGGTCACCACCTGTCATCAGCGGTCACCCCGGTCATCAACAGTCATCGCCGGTCATTACCGGTCATCACTGATCACCATCGGTCATCGCCGGTCATCGCTGGTCCCCACCAGCCACCGACGGTTATCACCGGTCATCACCGGTCACCACCAGCCATCGACGGTCATCACCGGTCATTAAAGGTCACCACCAGCCATCGACGATCATTACCGGTCACCACCGGTCCGGTCGGCCGGCCCGACTAGCTGCACGCAGCACGCGCAACGACTCACCTCGTACATGAGACACTGCAGCACGATGGCCACGCACGCGCACAGGGCGTGCAGCGCAAACACGACATCATTGGCGGCCACCGGAACAAAGCCGAACGCATGGTCTGCCCGGTACATGTCCTGGAGAGGCGCGGCCGCTTTAGTGGCATCGCTTTCAGTTCAGTTTGCACAACTAACTTGGCAGTTGTGATGTGCCATCAGGTGTCTGCAATACTATTACACTTATGGTGCACCTCATGATAATAATCTGGATATCTGGCCCACAGCTGACCGGCTAGGCGTCGCTGCTAAATCAAAATCCTAATTTAACACACAACCCGTTAAATATACGGTAAGAGGGACTGCTCAAAGAGGAACGCAGACACAACGATGCAGACATGATGAGTTTGTAGGGCTGGGGGGTAGGGCGGGGGCTGAAATAGACCGAACGTTCGGGGAAGGTATGTGGCCCGTACTAATAATGGAGAATGATGCAAGTTTATGAGACATCATAGTTAGGATAAAGAGCTGCGAGATTCTGTGATACACCGTGGATGGTGGGAGAGGGTGGCGAGAGCGTCAGGCTGAGCAGAATGAAAATCCGTCTAGATAAAGCTGATGGCAGAATGTAGCTGGGCGATAGCATGAAGCGGTGAAGAAGGCGATTTGCACTATCTGCTACTTGCCGGACCTGGTGAATCGCGACCACCAACACGTCACCTATCACCGCGACTAGACCGTGACTGACTATTCCGAACTGAGGTCAGGGTCAACTAGGAGGTCAAGGAGAGGACTTACCTGTATCGCGCTGGAGAAGTACAGGCCACAGTTAAAGACAGAGTAGAAGGTGAATCCGACGAGATTTAGCGCCAGGAAGTCGAAATTGAATCCAACCACGCTGGAATGAAAAACAACTTACAAGGGTGGTGGAATGGAAGAGGATGAAGCACAAATAATGCAATGGCAAAATCCATTTGCTACCTCGTGTACGCGTGACACGTGGTACGCTCGACCGCACACTTGGCACTGCACGATTGCCCATTCGATTATCTGTCGAAGCGTGCCTCTCCTGAATCGCTCCGACCCGTCACTGTCCTAGATATCGGCGCGGGATCACGTGATCATTCGTCATCGTGGCTCGTGAGCAGTGAAAGAAAAAACAGTTTGGAAACAGAAAAACACATTGCCAGCTCACGTGCGCTTGACACGTGACAAGTATCACCACAGGCTTCGTGCAGCGTAATAGCCCGCTTCATTCCCTATTGAAACACACAATGTTCTTGGTACTCTGATCCGTCCTTGTACATGTATTGGCGACGGATAGCGTAATCAGTCGACGGCAGTCGAATAGTGCAACCAGTCAAACGCGCAGATAGTCGTTTGGCCCTGAAAGCTCGCCGGACGGCAGCAGAGATATCTGCTGTTTTTCCCATGACAGCGGGTAAAAGGCCGCGCTGCAGCCCATTACCTAATTTTTTGTGAGGGTAAAGCAAACACGATGAATAAATGTGCTGTTAATTGGAAGAAACGAATCAGGACACACGCTGGTATGCTTTCTGATGCCAATTTCTTGGCGGTTTTGGCGGCAAAGTGTTGTATTTGGCGCATCTTTTCGGAATCCCGTTATTCACAACTTGTCCGTTAATTTGCTGCGCAGCGGTGCACCACACAGTTGTGTTTAGTAAACAAAATGTAGCCGATACATTGGGAAATGCTCCGAAAAAAATTCCACGCCTTTACCTGTAATGGGTGCCGACATATGACCCGGAAGGGGAAAAACGGCCAAAAACAGCAAATCCGACTTGATCCGTGAAATAAGGTACGATCTCAATAAACCCGTAGTTTAACACGCTCTCGGGTGGAGTAAAATTGACCTCCCGAAGGTTTTCCCAGAATAGGTTTCCGAACGACACGGCGCAGCCGCGCCAAATTTTGCATAGCTGAAGAAAATTGAATAGCGGGTCGCTTGGCATCAAAACTGTAAGTGCATCTCGCAAGGTCACTGACCTATCACAGGTCACACTCAGGCCATGGTTTCAGCGAAGCCAATTTCTAGGGAATAGCTCAATTTGCTGCGACAACGGAGTGTTAGACGAAGCCATACATCTCTGAGATACCCCGCAGGGGCACCGACCTCAGTCTATGTAGGGGACTAGCGCCCCCTCGGATCCCAAATGCGGAAACGGGTGGACAGCGCAAGCTGTTCCTCTCAGGGCGTAGCGACCCTGCCGGTGGGACGGGGAGGGGTCTCTCCGGTTACACCAAGCCGTGTGGGAGGCGTCGTTCGCCCCGTATAGCACCGGGGTAGCCCTGGCGGTTGACACCTCCCGAGGGAGTATTGGGCCGTCCCCCAGTTGGGCTCCGAGGTGGACGGGGAGCCCCGTTGCCGAAACTTCATTGAAACTTGCATGACATCCTATAATAGAAAAACACCCGACCCCCGAAAGGAGGAAGGACCACGTTCAGAACGGAAAGCAGCGGGGAATCTTCGCCATCGCCCCGAATTTTGGTTTTCCAAAGTGATAAGACAATCTCTCGCCGTTTCAGCGAAAGAGCGGGTGTGATCGATATGGTAATGTGGTGTGGTGCGAAAAATTGCGTGATGGAGGGCTAGAGTTAGAGTTTGTTAACGGGCAGAAGCTGATCGTGCGATGGCTGCAGCTGAATTCACGTACTGCGTTCGGGACAGGGATGGCAAACGAGACGTTTCTGTGCCCATCCGAGTGAGACCACACCTAACATTCTGACAAATGCATCCAGAGGAATAATTAACTGCTTCGACCTGCGTGACGTTAGTGAAGAGGAGATCGTTGACGAGTTGCCTGTGTTCGGCGTCACTGCTGCACGGAGGATCTCAACTAGAAAAGGAAGTGAGCAACTGCCGACAAATAACATTATCTTGACTTTCAATCGGCCGGATCTGCCTTCTGAAATACGCGTTGGATACGCACGTGTCAAGGTGCGCCTTTTCATCCCGAACCCCATGCCATGCTTCAACTGCCAGCGATTTGGTCTTACCAAACAGCACTGCCGCAACAAGCCTGCCTGTGGGAAAAGCGCTTCCTCCGAGCACGCAACGGAATTTTGCGATTCAGAGAGAGTGTGTTGTGTGAACTGTGACAAAGACCAGGCTCCGCACACGACTTACGACCGCACGTGCCCATTGTACGTAAAGGAAAAAGAAATTATATCCATTAAGACCACTCGCAACATTTCTTTTCGCGAGGCCAGAACATTGTACGAGGAGAGCCACCCTCGAACATCATACGCCGAAAAAAGCTAAGATCTCCACCGCACGTTCGACCTCTACTGATCAGATGACCGCTGCTCAGTTTGTAGCGCTCTTGAAGTCCTTTGGTCTCCCGGTTGTATCGACAAACCAGGCGCTGGACACCAATCTGGCAGCCCCGACTCCCTCTTCCTCGCTGGAGCGGTCGAAGGAGACCGTCCTGCCAACCTCTTCGCCCCCCGCGGGGGTTTCGCCGTCGGTGGCAGGGGACGGTGGTTGGACGGTAGTTCGGCGTGACTGGGGCAATCAGGCGCTGTCGGCGCCCCCCTGACTGCCAGCCTGACAACTAAAACAGCCTTGGCGAGCGCGAGCTCGCGAACGGCAGAGACGCTTGAGCGTCACGAGGCAGACAGGCGCGCCCGTGAGGCAAAGCGGGCACGCCTGGCAGACCAGGAGCGTGCCAAGGCAGCCAGCCGGCTGTCTGGAGCGGACCAGGTGACCGCTTCAAAAGGGGAGGCCCTCCTGTCGCCCCGAAAGCGTGTGGAGGCTCCCGCAGGCCCCTCCGATCCGCGGAGAGACCCGCCTATGGGTCCTCCGCCACCACCGCCACCAAGGACCACGACGTCGCCAGTGCCGGCCCCGTCTAGGACGGAGCGCCCGGAAAAGCGCGGTCCGCCGGGGCCGATTTCGCCAACGGATAGCGGTAGTCCCCGGATCCGCCTCAGGACCCGCCCGATCTCTTTAGGAACGGGTTCTGAAGACAGGACCAGCAGCCATCGGCTGGGCTCTAGCGCTGCTGAGTTCTTTTAAAACATAGCAGTGCTTTTAAAAGACCCTCATTCAGTTGGTCTTACAGTGAAACTGTAGAGGTGCAAGGTCAAGCACCCAGGACTTGCAGACAGTTTTAAGCGCGCACTGCCCGGTAGTCGTGTGTCTCCAAGAAACCAAGTTGGCTCCTGATGCGGCCTTCAGCCTGAAAGGGTACACTACCTTCCGCACTGACATGTCAACAGACACCGTTGCTTACGGTGGCGTTCTGTTGGCTTTACACCAAAGCGTACCTACACGGCGCCTGGTGTTGAGAACAGACCTGCAAGCTGTCGCAGCATCGGTGAATTTCAACCGCCGTACCATAACTGTCTGATCTCTCTACTTACTACCTGGGGTTTCATTTACATCTGGAGGATTACGAGAGTCAGTCTCTCAACTTCCTCCCCCTCTACTCGTTTTAGGCGATTCTAATGCACATCACACTGTGTGGGGGTATGCTTCCACGAACACTCGCGGAAGGCTATGTGAGGCTTTTGTGCGTGACGAAGGTTTGTGTGTTTTAAATACAGGAGCAAGAACGCATTTTGCATTGCCATCAGGACAATCGTCAGTGCTAGCCCTGAGCATTTGTAGTCCGCAGTTGGTACCACACTTCATCTGGGATGCCTCAGCGGACCCCCTCGGAAGGGACCATTTCCCGGTCTGGGTTCGGTACCGTGATGGTAGTGTTCTTGGTACGCGACCTCAGCGTCGGAACTTCAAGAAGGCGGACTGGAGCGGATTTGGTACCCGCCTAGAGAAAGTATTTTCTGACGATTCCGACTCTGCGACGCCGACCGAGGAGTAATTTACGTCTCGTGTTCTGGACGCGGCAAGCGAATACATTCCGGGCACCTCCGGATGCCCTCATCGCATCCCTGCACCTTGGTGGAACGACGAGTGTCGCGACGCTATTCGCGCACGTCGGAGAGCTTTAAAGGCTTTTGACCGGCACACCAGCACATTAAACCTCATGGCCTTCAGGCAAGCACGCGCGGCCTCACGCCGCACTATACAGAGGCGAAACGTGCATCATGGCGCAGCTACGTCAATTCACTGAATCACCACACGCCGACGTCACATGCATGGGGCCGCATTAAAAGAATCGTCGGACTGCATCCACCAGTTTCCCTTCCCGTACTGCGAGTGGGAAGTCAAGACATCCTTCACCCAAGTGATGTCGCGGAAGCCATTGGGGAAGCCTTGTCAGACCAATGCCGAAATGGCACCTGCGATCCACGGTTTTTGCGGCACCGGGCGCAATGTAAAACTTTGCAAGTTAATTTTTATACAGGGAACATCCTGACGTCAACAAGCTTTCCCTGTGATGGAACTTGAAGCAGCCATTCGCTCGCTGCGTAGTGTTGCGGAGGGGCCCGGCCTCCCCCACAGTGATATGGTACGGCATTTTCCTCCCCGTGTGCTACGAGCATTGCTGGCACTTTTCCACTGTATATGGGAGTCAGGTAACTTCCCGCCAATCTGGCGAGAGGCTATGGTAGTGCCTATTTTAAAGCCCGGGAAAAGTGGAACGAACGCCCTTGACTACTGCTCGATCGCCCTCACATTTTCGCTTTGTAAGCTGATGGAAAGAATGGTGAATGTGTGGCTCTCCTAGACTTAAGAACGTCAAAACTTTTTTGCGAATGCTCGAAGGCTCAGTGCGGATTCCGTAAGAACAGGAGCACGATTGATCACATCTTAACTCTTGATACCGCAGTGCGAGCCGGATTTAGTAGCAAGCGTCATACCGGTGCCATCTTTTTTGACATAGAAAAAGCTTTCGATACCACATGGAGACATGAAAGTTTGATGAAATTACTTGATTGTGGCATCCACCGTCACATGGGAAAGATTCGCCAAACTTTTTGACTGACAGATGCTTTCGGGCGCGTATTGATTCTCATCACTCCGACAGATATCCGCAGGACAATGGTCTGCCTCAGGGCAGCGTATTAAGTGTCATTCTTTTCGAAGTGATGGTAAACGACATAGGGGACACGCTTCCATATGGGATCAGCCGTTCTCTGTTTGTAGACGACTTCGCTATTTGGTGTAGCTCATCGACCACTCGCACGATGGAGCGACAGCTGCAGCTGGCTGTCACACGTCTGGAGAAGTGGAGTGTGCTCAACAGTTTCCGGTTTTCCACATCGAAGACAGCTGTAGTCCATTTGTGTCGTCGTCGCCGTCACTGTCCTGATATGGAAATCAGGCTGTATGGGCAACGCGTCATCAATGACAGTACCGTGAAATTTCTCGGTATACGATTTGACCGACGCCTAACATACCGTGAGCACATAAGAAATCTCCGCGACAAATGTTTAATGGCTCTTAATATCCTAAGGTACGTGGGACGAACATCATATGGTGCTGATAGGAGCACACTCTTACTCCTATACCGCTCCCTGATTCGTTCAAAACTTAATTGTGGTTGTTTTATCTATGACGGTTCGTCAGACCTGATCAAATGTACGTTGAACACGGTGCATCACGCTGCACTGCGTATCGCCGCAGGAGCTTTTCGAACATCGCCCATAGATAGTCTTCTGGTGGAGGCTCACGACCCCCCACTAGCTTTGCGAAGGCAGATGCTGGGACTGCGCTACACGTGTAAACTGGCGCAGTTCCCAGATCATCCCACCTACAAAGCAGTGTTTTCGCGTAGCTTACGAAGGCTTTTTCTACGTCAACGGTCTCCACAAACTTCTCCATTTTGTTTACGAATGAGATAACTTTTAGACGCGAGCGGCCGCAACCTACGACGTGTCATCAGACCTGAACCCATGAAGACTGCTCCATGGGAGCTAGCATCGCCAAGAGTGGATATTTCGTTATCGAACATGCAAAAGCAACGCGTTCTCATGACGGAACTTAAAGGGACAGCCTTAGAACACAGCTTCTTTTGACGGGTACATGATTACTTATACGGATGGTTCGAAGCCGGACGCAGGTGTAGGGTGCGCTTTTGTGTGTGGATCCACAACACGGCCATTCACACTGTCTTCACACGCGTCGGTCTTCACCTCCGAGTTCACAGCCATCGGCGAAGCTCTCTGTTTTATTGAAGTGGACGATAGCAATTTGCATTTGATTCTTTCCGACTCCTTGAGCAGCCTCTTGGCTGTTGGCGGCTTCTTTCCGTCGAATCCACTGGTCCAGGACATTCAATCGCGTCTTAGCTCACTGGATCGAGCAGGAAAAACGGTCGTTCTATGCCAGATCCCAAGTCACGTGGGGATATGCGGAAATGATCTTGCGGACGCGGCAGTAAAGCGCGCTACGACAGGGACTAGAACACCACTGCCAGCTCAAGACATGTACCCCGCAGTGTCGTTGTTTATGCGGAAGCGATGGGAGTTCCATTGGAACTCGCTGAGCGCCAATAAGCTGCAGTCCGTGAAACCCCGTATTGGACTATGGCAGTCGTGCTTTCGGGACAGTAGGGTGGAAGAAGTTGCCCTTTGCCGGTTACGCATAGGTCACACATATGCTACGCACCGTCACCTGCTATTGGCTGGCGACAGAGCATGCTGCAGTTGATGCTCTGACCCGCTGACCGTGCATCACGCACTGGTCGCTCGCCGCCACCTTACTGCAACGAGAGCGCAGTTTTTCGGACACCACGTCCAGAGGCGCACGCTATGTGACTTTTTAGGGGATTCTTCGAACGCCGAGTTTGGTAAAGTGCTCCAGTTTCTTCGCGCTATAGATCTCCCAGTAGTCTTTTCATCATGCTGCTAGGGCTGATCACCAAGGCTTTATACGGTGACCTGATTGATGCATTGATGCACCTGATTGACGGCTCTGCATAAACTGATAGTTATGGGCGCTGCATGGCCTACAGCAGTCGATGCGCCCTAAAACCCCAAATCATCATCATCATCATCATCTCTGAGATACTTTCTTAGGCAACACCAATATTGAATGATAAAATTACGTTGACCTAAGGTCAGGTATAAAGGTCAGACCAAGGTCAAAACCAACCTGTTCTATTTCTCTAGGGCTTGCCGTATGGGATAGCTCTTGTTGCTCATTTCAAGCCTATTGATGGCAGGAACCGCATTTTTCATCTTCCATGGACTTTTTGCACGTCAGAATGGGTAACTGACCCAAAATGACCCAGCTCAACACTTTGTTTTTAGAAACATACTGCCTAGTGTAATCTTTGTCGCCTATTCAAATACAAAACTCAGGGCAGCCTTGTGTGATTTATGATCTTGTATCAAACAATGTCACCGACCTTACATGAGCATGCGACATTTTGTTTAGAACCAGTCGTCTAGGTTCTGGAGGCACTTTGTGGACCAACCCGGAATTTGACCTTGTTTGACCTTATTTGACTCAAAGGTCATGACCTAGGTGCTTTAAACTTTCACCTAAGTGAGTTTACGTATAAGTCAACACACCGTGTGAATTTGGTGTACTAGCTCTCAAAGTTCCCGTAATCTCAGGAGGGCCAAATTGACCTACACCTCACCCGAGCGAAGGGTATTTAGCCGGCCACCCAGTCGCGTGTTAAAATCTTTCTAATTTACGTCAGCTAAAGGTTAACTGGCTGCTGGCCGATGTCATGTCCTCGAGGCAATTGATAGAAACTTGTGCACATCACGCGACTGCCGACAAGTCACAACTTGTGGAAAGAGCAGGCCAGGGTTCACGCACCATGCACACCTTTATCCATCGATGCCACACAATGGCCGACTGGTTAGCGCCTTTGATTCCTACGCGCTGGGTCTGGATTCGAATCCCCGTTGAACCATGATCTCTGATCGCTGATGTGACCAATGCAGTCGCTGTTGCTCCATAAAAGGTGCGTGACGACGTGCACCGCGTTTACTAAAAGGGGAAAAAACAAGCATACGATGCGTCAGGCAAATCAGCTGTTTCACTCACGGTTTAAAATGATGCGTGCTATTGGCAAGCAGAGCTAAAACATCAACAAAAACAAACATTGTTAGTAAAACATCTGCAAAGGACTGAACACCATTCGCATCGGAACACACTGCCAGCACCTTTTCCGTTTCCAGTTGATGTACATCTGCGGGTAAAACGAGATGGTCCAGGCGACGAAGTAGCACCAGCCAACGACCGAGCTGAACGTGTCCAGTCCGAACGTCTCCAGCACGTTCACGCGCACGAACACACCGGACGCACTGCAAGGTAGTGCTATAGTATAGGGCGGGGCCACAAGGTGAAAAGCGGGACAGGCAGGCGCGCATCACACTGCTGCAGAAGAATAACAGGGCAGGAAAAGCAAGGTAGATGCCTGAAATACTAAACCACCCGAAGAAAGGGGAGATGTGAATGTAACGTAACATGCTGTCGTCGTCACCATAAGGGCTTGACGACGTACTCAACCGCTGAGCCTACATGGCGTCGCGTATCTCTCACCAAAGCAAAAAACGGCAAGTACCGCGGAAGATCGAACCCTGCCGAGTGTGTGGCTTCCCACACACTCGGCCTAACCAGTATACTACCCGGCATGCGACGCACAGTGACCCACGACGATCAGAGCGGGAAACCGTGCATGTCGATGTCGTAGCGTAAGTGTGGAGAGAGAGAGAGAGAGAGAGAGAGAGAGAGAGAGAGAGAGAGAGAGAGAGAGAGAGAGAGGAGAGGAGAGAGAGGAGAGAGAGAGAGAGAGAGAGAGAGAGAGAGAGAGAGAGAGAGAGAGAGGAGAGAGAAGAGAGAGAGAGAGAGAGAGAGAGAGGGAGAGAGAGAGAGAGAGGAGAGAGAGGAGAGAGAGAGAGGAGCAGAGAGGAGAGAGAGAAGAAGGAGAGAGAGAGAGAGAGAGAGAGAGAGAGAGAAGAGAGAGAGAGAGAGAGAGAGAGAGAGAGGAGAGAGAGAGAGAGAGAGAGAGAGAGAGGAGAGAGAGAGAGAGAGAGAGAGAGAGAGAGAGAGAGAGAGAGAGAGAGAGAGAGAGAGAGAGAGAGAGAGAGAGAGAGAGAGAGAGAGAGAGAGAGAGAGAGGAGAGAGAGAGAGAGAGAGAGAGAGAGAGAGAGAGAGAGAGAGAGAGAGAGAGAGAGAGAGGAGAGAGAAGAGAGAGAGAGAGAGGAGAGAGAGGAGAGAGAAGAAGAGGAAGAGAGAGAGAGAGAGAGGAGAGAGAGAGAGAGAGAGAGAGAGAGAGAGAGAGACGTAAGACAAATCGAACACACAAAATGAACGAGCGTTAATCGTATGGGAGGCAACATACGTACACACCAATATAGTGCATGACCAGATGAGTGCATGTTCATAATCTTGTATGACCTGAACTGGTCGCACGACATTCTGGCGTTAGCCGTGACCCTGTTTGACCTGGACTGGCCGTCCGACCGAAAGCATTAGCCATGACTACTTCAAGGTCGCCGCACATGCATGACGAGTTAGAAACGTCACACAAATGCTGCCACCTCGCTGATGATATAGTGTTCAGGGCCAATACAAACACTATCATTAAGTCATTTGTGCCTGGCGTTCGTCAGCACGGCCCCTGGCGTGCACGGACTTTCGTTGGCTCTCAACCAAAGGAATGCGGTCAGGGCACCTTAGGAACATGAATAACGTTGTGTGCTTTATCACGCAGGAATTTGGGAATTGGTGCAAGTAATGACAAGTATGCAAGTATGACTGGGATGCAAGTATGACTGGGATTCAAATGACTTAGAATAGTGTCATGACTGAGCATGTGAATGTAAGTAACCCTGTTTGAGTAAGTAGCCCTGTAGCCGTGTAAGTAACCCTGTAAGTAACCCTGTAGCCGTGACCCTGTTTGACCTGGACTGGCCGTCCGACAGAAAGCGTTAGCCATGACGCTGTCTGACCTGAACTGGTCGTCCGGCAGACTGGCGTTGGCCTGGACTCTGTCTGACCTGAACTGATCGTCCGGCAGACTGGCGTTGGCCGTGACAGTGCAGTGGCCGCGGCTCTTCGGCACCAACGGCACGGTGGCGGTGTCTGCGGAGTTCCCCGGCAGCAGCAGCGGCGGGATCGGCTCCAGAACGTCAGCGTCGCTCCGCTGGAACGTCAGCGTCACGCTCTCCGGAATCGGTGCACTGCCGGAAACATGCTGGCGGTTGTGGATTCTGGGCAGGGACAGCTGCACCCACTTCACGCCCTCCCGCCGCCGACAACACTTTGTGAAACCAAGGAACCCAACAATTAACGGAAGTGATACATGATAAACCGTACCTCTTGCAAAAATATATATTCAGTGGAGTAGCGTTTTCCTCGTGCCTTAACTGTGCAAACGTTTACGGTTTCTCGGTTTTCTCTTCCAGCGCAAGAACAAAGCCGTTATAGATGGTTCCCGCTCCTCTTCTCCCCCGCTCCATTTCGGGGTATCGTCAGTCTCCCGGCATCCCCGTCGACCCCCTTCCGGTGAGCTCTACGGACAGCGCCCTGATGGTCGCTCGGTGTCAGCCGCTCACCTGAGCAACACCTTGAACGAGTCGTTATGGGAGATCTGCAGCAGAATGTCGTGACCGTTGGTGTAAGCCCGAGGCGTGGGGGGCGAGGCGGCCAGGCCGGGGCCGAACAGCGCTGAAACGAGCATCGCCGTCAGCACCGCGTTGGCAGCGGCGCCTATGGCCGGCTGGTCCCGGGGACCGGCTGGCGGGTCCTGCGGACCGACCGGCGGGTCCCGCGGACCGACCGGTGGGTCCCGCGGCCAGCCGCCGCCGCGTTGGCTGGTAAGCCGGGGTACGCGCTTTGCACCCTCCCAGCGATCAGTGAGAATCACCGAGAGCGAACATCTTGGTACGAGATAATACACATCTCAGTGTATATCCTTCTCAGTGAAGCGAACATCTCGAGGCATGAATGCACACTCGTCATGAGCGTCAGGGGTATGAACAGAACGCAGACTGATCGTGCTAACGCGGGCGCGCCGTGGAACACGCACACAACGCAGACTGGTCGTGCTACGGCAGGCGTGTGGTGGAACACGGCACACAGCACAGACTGATCGCAGCACAGCACACTTGGCTGACACTCCGCGCTACCGCGGGCACGTGATGAAACACGGCTCGAAACCGCTAACTGATCGCAGCACAGCACAGTTGGCTGACGCTCGAGTTGAAGGAGAACCTCGGGAAGGAATATTTCCAAAATGTTCAGCACATGGCAGAACTGAATGCCTCATATTTTACAACGGCAACGGACGCAGGGTTGTCTTCCATTACTTTGGCGCACCTGCAGACGCGAGCAGTTATTTGCGCCGAAGGGCTTCTCAGCCGTGTCCCGAATCAAGCTGCGCGGCGTGCGCCATTATGTGTGCTAGGAGGCTGGACAGCAGTCACTTATCGTGTAACGTTTACCCGTGGGGTTTCCTGCCCTCTCGGAATATTTACAGCGGAATTCACTATCTCTATTAATTATTTTCCATATTCATCAACTTATGAGACATTTACTGACTATATGTTGATGAATCTTTTGTTGTGAAATAGGAGCGGCTTGTACGGAACGAACCTACTGCTGATTTGTATGTCTCCGTATGTAACTGCATACGCCATACCATGGGTAGCATTTGGTGGGCATGGATACCGGGTATTTTTAGGCATTTCTGTCTGTGAAACACCGCTGGCGTGACAATGAATTCCAAAAAAGTTGGAAAGCTCATCCCCTTCCATCTCCCCTGATCCCTGCGACAAAATTCATGCCCGATCTCCATGGCCCTCAACCTATACACATCAGCCAACCTCGAAGGATCGGTTGAACCACGATTTTGGGAGATTAAGCCAAACACATTTCATCAATCAATTGAAGCTCATCGAGCGAACACGCCTAGTGTCGGCCGCACCCTGGACCATCCAGATGCCGACGAGACGGTGTTGACTGGGCGGTACAGTCTAACCCGTGAAACAAACAGACTTTTTGAAGCAACGGCAGATCCCCATTGATTGCTCGTAACTGCGCAGCCGCTGAATCAGGAACACCGCCGATCCGGGCCAGGACACGCGGATACGTGATATTCTAACCTGTCCAAAAGTAACCACCACCTGTCAGCTCTCAGCTATACAAGCCTTGTCACACTTGCCCTGTTACCCCAAGCCCCGGGGCGGCGCGAAAATGGGGTGGGGGAGGGGGCCTGGCTCGGGCCTGGACGGCCGCAAGGAGCTGCCGGGGTTAGCTGTGTCAGAAGCGGTTAAAGCCGCAGCCGACCCCCGGGCCGGCTCTGGCTCCGGTACCTTGGCGAAGTCTCAGGCGCACACCGGGCTCAAACAGACCAACTAGCAGGAGCCCTGAAACTTGGCGCGGACATGACGTCATTAGCAGAAGGGTCCGACAGGACGACACTGGCCCGTTCGTCTCACCGGGACACAATGACACGGACAGTACGGCAGCCATTTGAAATGATCCTGGAAAATGCATACTAATATACAATTATAAAGCCAAGAAACAAAGGATGGGCCTAATGACATCAATTCAAGAGCAACAGGTCCATGGAAAAGCAAATGAGCAAAAACACCTACAATTACTAAGGCTCAGCGAAAACATTCGATAAAGACCTAGGCGACGTTTTGCCACAGCATGCTTCCCAGCAGCTCAGAACTGGGGGCGTTTTGTCACACCTCAAAAGCAACCACATAAGCCACACTTGGCACACTTGAATGGGTGTCAAACTACAGATGCGCTGCGAGCACGTCCCCAGTTCACTTTCCAGTGATTTTAAATGCATAAATTGTGATGCCATTTATCATTTAAACTTCAACAGCAGGTATAAAAAGCTTGACTGCGAAGCCACAAGCATGCGGACGTAGATATCCCTTACAGAGTAGTGCACAAGTCCGGAATGACATGTTGTTTGTGGTCGATTGCGCTCATTGCTTCTGTAGCCTTGGTTGTGCCCGTCACAGATCTGTCTGTCTGCGAGCTGATAATACAGCGATGAACAAGTCTCCTATGGTTCTTCACATGGGTAACGCAGCGCGTGATTTGGCCTTAATTGCGCTTCGACGGAACACATTCCGACTCTGACTCGCATGACACTGATTCCGCCTCGACCTCCGAACAGACCTGCGCGGCTTGAGTATAACACCGACTCCACCCCAAGCCTGACCCAACTGGAATGGATTTTCGTGTAGTCTGTGCCAGCGGCGATAGACCAGACAATAATCCGTTCTATGATCTTCACAACGGTCTAAAAAGGGATATTACTTACAATGATACGATGTACGCGACGGTGTTGCGTCTGGCGGACACACCCCCTGCCGGCCCACGAGTATATCCTGCTGCGCACACATCCACTTGAGCGTACTCGACATATTTTGACGGATTCAGCTCCGAACCATACACCCAATAGGACATAACAGGAGCTAATTCCGTCGTAACTCAATGATTATGTCACCAGTTCCTGAATCGAGTGCAACTTCATCCTGGGCCAGGCACAGGTCTCGTGCACCAAGGCATGGGGTCATTTGACCAACGCAACAAGCGTTAAAGGTTTTAGAACACATGCGGTACTCAGAAAAGTATTTGCCGACCCGTGCGACATGTCATGCCAAAACACATGTTGCCACGCTACAGCCCAGACTGGAGTCTGATGCCACGGGAAACCCCAGAAGTACAGACATGCCTCGCTTACCGGCCGCACAGAGCGTCATGCCGAACGCCTCCTTGACCTTGACCTTGACATCCATGGCTTATCTGAAAGGTGTAGAATGAAAAAGCTCTTTCCCGCACTCCGCAGCATTCCAACCCAGGGGTCTGGGCCTGGCCCCTGAAAAAAGTTCATCGTCTCTTTTTACCCAGGGCAGGCGATGCAGATGGGATAAAGCAAAAGCAGGCAAATTTTAAAAAAAACTGGTGTGGTCATGGCATTACCGGCATCATTTGGTAGCAAATTTTGTAACAGCTTATATTTGGTAACAAATTATTTGCTACATGAATGCTAAATAGTTTTGCTTAAATGAACCATGCAACGAACAAGCAAGCAAGCAACATCACGGCATCATCAAATCACCACAAAAGAGCACGTATTTAATAACGGTCGGAGGCTAAACCATTATTCGTTTTTGGCGTGCTTCTTTTTTCAAACAATACAATCATTGACGTGTGCCAGATTGTTTCTTTGCTTTATAATCAAAGTCAAATGAGTGTGGTTGATAAGACCCGTTAAGCACAGAAGACGGCGGAATAGGAAAAAAAAGGCGTTACACAAATAACATGAAAACGGGGTCAGTAATTCTGTGCAAATGAACATTACATTTTCTAGCATTACATAGTCCCAAGGATGCATCGGCCCAACATCATCCACCGCAAATGGTCGCTGAAAAGGGAGAGAGACAGAGGGAAACAGGGGAAACGTGACCTTACGTCTAGGAAACTTACGTCACGTGCGGGTGGTGTGCCCGCGTGACCCGCACCTGCTGAGGGGCTGGCGCTTCAGCCCACAGTGGTACACTCCTAACATACGACGAAGGAGATTGGTCTATCGTAAGGGCATGATAAAGCCCGCAGATTGCCTCCATCTAAACTGCTGCCATATTTTTTAACGGTGCTCATGGGTACTGCATTGAAGAGATGACAATGTGTTTATAATTCAGTTGGAAACGTAGCCTGATGCGACGTCTCTGGCTGTGACACAAATGTGTCTACGATTGCGATTATTTCATTGAAATGCTAAAGGATCTAGTGCTGGCCAGTTATGATAGCCCCTCACATTTATAGCTACGTCTTAAAGCAGCGCGCTAAAAACATAGGCCAATCTAACGTGCATACCGGACACTGAGAACAGGCTAGGCTAACAAGTAGACAAAAGAAAGACCAAAATACGGGACAGAGTGCAGTACAGACGCCAAAAGAGAGTGAGGCACAGAGTACCACCGAAAGTACAGAGCGGAGGACAGGCGAGCGGACTACGTGGAGGACAACATAAAAGCCATGACAGAGGACGGAAAAGAGGACGAGAAACACGAAGGAAAAAGGTAAGCATGACAGGAAAGGGAAGAGAACAAAACAAGACGAGAGAGGAAATACAAAAGGAAGAGCGGCAGACAAAGTGAAAGGGTAGGCGAAAAAGGGAGACAGAGTGAAGGGAAGGGCAGTGTGGACAGGTGGACTAGAGCAAGGCGGACCAAAGTAGAGGACATGGAAGGCCAAGGTCGTGAAGAGCATGTTGCAGGCTGCAAAAGCCCAGGGTCAAACAGAGTAGACAGATGAACAGGATACCGTGCAGGCCAGGGAACAAGGTAGTACAAATAGGTCAGGACAGGATAAAGCCCAGTGCAAGACGGAGGGTACGACGAGCTAGACGACAAGGTGGAATAGGGACTTTCGGCTGAGGGCAGATATCAGAGGACGGAAGGCAGGGGACACAGGATAGATTTCCGAA